AAAAAAAATTAGGGTTTTAATTTTTTTTCTCTGAAACTATTGGTTTTGGGAAAAAAATTCAAGAATAAAAAAAAATTAAATAAATCAAGGATTTCATAAAAGTTCATCTCGAAAAAAAGGTTTGATATGAAATAAAGTAATTGTTGCTAATTTCACCCCCCTATAATGTAACAGAAATATTGAAAAGATACCCGTGGTTAGTCCTTTGCGATTACAGAATTTCAAGTTTCTAGCTTTACTGAAATTTTAGAAAAAAAAATAAAAACTCAATTTTCGTCACCACTTTTTAAGGTTGATATCTTGAAAAGGGGTGGGCTACGGAAATTTTGTTATAGGAAAGACCCATCTTAATTTCATACGAGCAATCAGTTCCTGAATTTTGTCGCATGTATTTAGAAACACCCTGTATATTACACATTTTTTTAAACGTGCAAAATTCTTGACAATCTCTTTTCCCTGATTGGCACATGTCGTATTTTTCTAGGATTTACTAACTCTGGCAGCAAACAAATAAAATAGAAATTTGTCAGCTGTGCATTTTTGCCTTCCAGAATTTTTCATTTCATAAATTAACTAAAAACTAAATTACACAAAAACCTAACAACGCCTCAACAACAAACTAAGACGATCACAATAATTTCGCACCTCTTCAAAAACAACTACCTATTTTTCGACACAGGAATTAACAAATTTAACTAAACAGCAGCTACACTTTTAACCACGGGTTTCAAAGGCTAGCAGCGTTGCCATATTCACTGGTATCATTGTTTTAATAGAATTAGTATCGGAATGAAAATTATGTTAATCTTCGGTCCTGTTTAAAATTGCTAATCTTTTTGAAAAAAAGTTATTTAGAAAATAGTAAATTTATTTGTTATAGAATGCCGGTAAAGAGCCAAAAAATTAAATTTGTTCAAAAGTTGAAATTTTTGTTGTTTTTCTTTAAAAATATAAGTTTTTCGCGGTTTAGCGAAATTCTTGGTTCATTTTTACAACGATTGGCGTGAACCATTTTTTTTTACAATTTTTTTTAACTGCCTCAAATGTAAAATTGATTTTTGGTGGAGGAGCGCCCGTCATGTTTGCTCTTAATGTCAAATTGAAATTTATTATTTTGACGTTTTATAGGAATCAGTTATTAATAAATAAAAATATATGCAAAAGGTTTTGACGTGTTTTGAAATTCGAGTCTGTTTACTAGAAACGGTCGTGTTGTCTAAATTTTGAATCAACTTGGTATAGTATGAGCAAGATATATAGTGTCACTTTAAAGCTTTAAAGCCAACCGGCAACATACAAAAAAAACTAAGCAGACTAATACATCACCTTTAAATTAGCATTCAAGAGATTGGAGTATACTTATTTTATTTTTATTTCCCTCGATAAAAGGAAGTATTGTAATCGTGAACATTTAGATTTTTACGTTTTCGGGTTCCTAGATTACGAAAAACATGTTTTCCCTATTCAGTCGTCTGTCCGACGTCTGTCTCTTGGCGCGATAGCTCAAAAACCATTTCCTCTTTATCTCACATCTTAAGAATCAGAAAAAGAATGTACAATGAACTAAGTTAATTTTATAAAAGTTAGTTAAGATTCGTTGTAAAAAGACGTCGACAATTATTTATTTATAAATCTAGTACGCTCCTGTTGGTTGTATTTCTGGCTACCTGCCCTGAATTGAGCAAGAATCGTTTAACTGCCGACGAGTTAGTCAAGACGCAGATTGTTTAGGGGTACATTCAACACGATGGTGAAAGCGGATATACAAAATTTTCTAATGGACAATGATTTGTATTTTCAAGACAGCTATAAGAAAGTAGAACTTCTTGAAAGTTTTACGGACGGAACAATTTAAAAAAGTATACGCCATAGATAGTATTGCTGAATACCATGAGATTTCCCCCTTATTTTTGCATTTTTAATAGGATATAAAACCTCATACTTTCTATTGCTGCACCAGTGGCGTTTATCTTATCGTTCATCAATTAAATTAAAATTTCTTCATTTTGCAGTATTGTCGATTAATTTTAATTATTTTAATCTATAAGCGAGCGGTTGGCGACAAAAATACAAGATGCCGTATTGATGTAGAATTGACCAGTCAAATAAGTAAAAATATCAACATGGAAAAATGTCAGTGGCGTACTACTTTATTTATAGAAAATATCAGATGACATGTTTGCAGAGACGCTACTGATAGAGCAATAAAATAAATTTTCCAACTAAAATATGTGGTTTTATATCCTTTTAACACATACCAAAATTGAAAATTATATCTAAACTATTTTCAGATATATTAAAAAATATGTCTTTAAAAAACAAATTTTCAACTCCCTGTAGCAAAAAATTGAAGCCGTTGCGGATATATTATGTTCATATGAACTTTTCTTCATAAAATGACATCCTACAATATTAGGATACCATTAAAAAACACCCTGTATAAATTGTAAAAACAGGCCGTTTTGAATTTTTAAAACGTAATTTATGATCTGTTTATCAGATTTATCAGAAACCAATTTTATTTGAAATCTGCTGACTTTTAATAATAAATCTTTTTTTAACTGCTCACCCTGTATATATCTGACCGGAAGTATAACCGGTTTTGAGCCAAGAGAAGCCTTACCTGCATACAAAATTTGAAGTTTTTATCTTAAGCCGTTTTTGAGCTATCGCGCCAACAGACAGACGACCGACAAAAGACGGAGGACCGCAAACAGACCGACGGAATGGGAAAAACATTTTTTTCGTAATCTAGGGACCCGAAAACGTGAAAATCAAAATTTTCACGATTACAATATTTTCCTTTTATCGAGGAAGTAAAAATAAAATAAGTATACTCATCTCTTAAATGCTCCTCTACTATTAAAAGTGATGCATCAGTCTCCTTAGTTTTTCTTTTGTATGTTGCCAACTGGCTTTAAAGTTACACTATATCTCTTGCTCGTACTATACCTATAGGTAAGTAAATAACGTATTTTTTTATAGATAAGTAATGTATTTTTAAACGATGGATAAATTTATAAAAGTATATTTATTAGTAGAATCTATGTCTGAGTGTCAGAGAGAGTCCAAATATTGCCCTTTTTAAGTTTTTATGATGTCACATATATCTTTTAAACTACTTTTATTTGTATTTTCAATTTGGACCTATCTTAAAAAATAAATAGGTATATAAATATAAATAAAATATTAAAAAAATATGTTGGTGTGGTGGGAGGTGTTTGTGTGAATACGTGTTGTTTGTTTTCATTTACGCCGTGTCTTAGCACCTAGCAGTAGTATTTTATAAACCTTAGAAGCAAATTTCACATACATGAACAAATAATAATAATGCCGTGACAACAAGAAAATGAAGCAACGAATTCTCGTAGGGTGGCGGCTTCGCCGCCACCATTAAATTTCAATCCCTACCTGGCTACGCCGACTGGCACGGACACAGCTCACCTACTCTGTCAAGACGTTTCGCGTGTATATAACTTTTTGAATTGCGTACAAGTTAGCGTGTACCTAGACACTGCGTTACCTGCCTCGGCCCTACGTACCTAATCATTTCATTGCATTTTTGTACTTTAAAACGGGTTAGTGACAGTAGTAATGAAAATGATCGTTTAAGAGATAAAACTGTTAAGTATCAAAATAAATAGCAAAAATTGTTAAAGCTAGTTTATATTTAATATTATTAAATACTAAATAATATTTTTCTTTTCTAACCAAAGTGTTTTACAAAAACGTCGAAAACATTCAAGTTTTTTAAGTGATACTGATACGAACAGTGAGACAGTCATAGCTAAAAAATTTAGAGCCAAAATTAAACTATTACCTAATAGTTTTAATAAAATTAATGGCTGAAATTGTTTAAAATGGTTGATATTTAATATTATAAAATTGTTATATTTTCCCTTGTTTCTTTTTAAAGTGTAGTGTATGATTCACTAAGCTGAAGTTCATAATGAAATGCGAAAAATGATACTAATATACCGGTCGATGTGTCACAAGATGCTGTAATATCTCAATAGGGAGTATTTGTTGCTTTTGGGAAGAACCAAATCATTTCTCGTTTTTTACGCTACGAGTTTGCTCTTGTGGGCCTCTGTCTCTATAACTATAAGGGGGAGACACCAATTTAGCGTCTCTCGAATTTCAGAATTATTTCATTCAACCAGAAATATTCTTCCTTATAAATCCAAAAATAAAATAAAATACATTTGTTAAAGTGAAAACAGAAAAAAAGATGGATAATGACAACTTCCATAAATTCCTAAATAAAACGAAGTAGCATTTTTTTTTGTTATTGCTAATTGTCCTTGAACTTGGAAATAACAATCGTATCTTCTTTTTAGTAAGAAGGAGTCATTTTTAATCTTGCAAAATATTATATTCTTCCTTGAATTTAAAAACACACTTTATTTCCAGAATGGAGTTACCATCAACCAATCCATCGGAACTAGCACCCAAAATACTATAATTGTTATCTATGAAGAGTTCATATTTCCGATTTAAGTTTACTTAAAAATTCTCGACTGCAAACGGTTCTTTTAATTTCTCAAAAACGTAAATCAAATATGTACAGATTTCTAAAAAACCGCATTTATTAACACTCCACTTATTTATATTAATCTAAACTTGGCATCTGATCTTCGGAATAATTTCTATTGATTCAAAATCGATGAAAAGATAATTACGGAAAATTTACAGATATAAATTCAAAATAACTATTTTTAACTAAATATTTGCGTTACTTGGATTGGCGAAAAGTCGAATTCAATGTGTCAGTTTTAAATCACTACTTTCGCAATTTCAAATAACTCTATCTTTAGATTGGAATATTTCTGAATAATAAAGAAAAATTACAAAACCATTACCTACAACACTATATTTCTACTTTTACTTTTACACAACATCAAGTTGAATATTTTTATAAAAATAAGATTTAAAAACAATCTTCCTATATTTATTTTTTAATTGTTAATGTTTTTTTTGACTTTCTATTTTAATTTCAGAGTCAGAAATTGGGCAACCAAACTAGGAGGAGAATTATGGCATTTTGGAGATTTAGTTACTAGACAGAATAGAGTAAGAGATGTAAGTAATCAATTTACTAATAGTTTGTAAATTTTTGGAAATTTAGTACATGAAGAGGTTGAAATTCTTTATAAAAACGACTAAACCAATCTCAAAAACCGAATGTTATGTTTAAAAATCCCAATTTCCAGGGCATTCATTATGACATATACTTTTTTTTAGAGTTTTAAAGAAACCAACTTGGTAATGGAAGACGGTGAAGTTCTCTTGAAAACGATCCACGATAACATATCTCTAATGATGAAGGACAAAGTAGACGCCGTAAGAAGGATCATGGATCAAGCGGAACAGATCGCTCAAGCTCAAAAGGAGAGCGACATCGATTTCAACTTTCCTTTCTATAATGCCAAAAATCTGACCAATTCACTTGAGAACATCACCGAAGAGGCCACAAGAGTAAGAAAAAGTGTACTATTTAATTATTTTGTTTGGTTCTGAAAAGCAGTTCCTTAATATTTATCGTTTTTATTATAGGAACCTGAAGCTCAAGAACTGCAAGATAATTCTTTCATGGCTGACATGCGTTTTCAAGACCAGCCTTTCCATCAAGCTCTGATCCAGCCCGAAGAGTTTAACGGTTTTCAAAGGGATGAAGATACAGAATCATCTGAAGAGCCTTCTTTAAAAGACGATGATTTATTGGATCCTGACTTAGAGGTACCAGACCAGATCATTAAATAGACTCATATTTTTATTTCTTTATAAATTTGTTGTTTTAGGTCACAGATGGTACCGAAAAAGATCCGCAGGCCATATTAAATAAAGCACCAGTAGATAAATCCCGATTGCCTTTGATTCGAAGTAGAAATTTCTACGATATTCCCGTTAATATGAACGTCAGTGCCGTCCATGTTCCTAGTAATGTTTATGAAAGATGTAAGCATAACAAACGCCAGTCTGCTATGTGGTTTTATTTGATTTCAAATTCAAAAAAAAACTGTAAATATCATAATTATTACTAAAGAGTTTGTTTTTTTTTTAGCGAAAGACGTCATAGCTGGCATTAAGTGGTCCGAAGAACTAGACAAAACGTTTAGATCAAACTATGAAATAGATCCGACTTTATCCTGGCAGTACTTCGGAAGTTCTACTGGATTTATGAGGCAGTATCCAGGTAAGTAAAACCAAAACTACTCTAATTATTAGTTATTAATCGCAATTAATTTTTTAGCTATGATATGGTCCCAAGAACCCATAGACCTCTTCGATTGTCGAACCAGGTCTTGGTACATTGAAGCGGCATCGTCACCGAAGGACGTTGTCATTTTGGTTGATCGCTCGGGATCTATGACCGGAATGAGAAGAGAAATAGCCAGACATGTCGTCCATAATGTTCTGGATACTCTTGGAAATAATGACTACGTTAATATTTACACCTTTAGCAATACGACTGAGTGTTTAGTTGACTGCTTCGATGGGCAACTAGTGCAGGTAAGTTATTTTATCGGATTGAAAAAAACATTTTTTTGGCAGGTTTGTTACTAACTGTGAAAAGAATCTTCCACCTTAGTTATATTAGCTGAAAAGTCCTCTACAACTAGCATAGATGTTTTCCTGAATTCTTTGAACCAAATTTTGGAAATTGCCCCACAAAGTAATAACTATATGTAAATTACAAAATACTTTAATAAAGATATGATAAGTAAATCAAATTTGAAACACCAGATCATGTTAAAAAGTGTAGGTACTGAACATTTTTGATATGAAAGTTAATATTTTGGATCCAACTAAAGTTACACCTGCCTGCATCGTCCACTTGAATTGATAACATTTATATATCGCACACTTTAGAATACAGTACTAATGTCTTAAATACAAATCTTTCAGATCATAAAGGTCAGCAGTTATGTGTATTGACTGAACGACTAATGCCGGAAAATGTAACTGAAGCAGAGACAACATAACTGAATTAAACCGTTGTCCAGTACGCAAAATTACGATAAATTTTATGAGTTATTACAAATTACACTTGGCTGTGTGTGTATGCAGTAATTACTGTAGATTATAATATATACCTGTTTTATTGAGACTTTCCTCAAACACTTCAATGAAGCCTTCCCATTAAAGAGGGTAAAAAAAGTAAATGACTATATAATTTCGTTCCTGAGACAAAAATACTTTATATTTATTTTCACTTAGGTATTGGCAGAGAGGATTTTAAGGAATATAATAGTTATTTATGTATCAAGGGCGTAAAACAGGCTTTTATGTACCGCAATCTGTAAGAGCCCGAGCCGCTAGGCGAGGGCTATTAACATGTAAGGTCCATAAACGCTCTTTACGCCCGAAATACATCTTGAGCACGACCCTTTTAATGATAATTTATTAACTATACATTTGTGCGTAATTGTTCAATATTTCAATTTGTGTTATAGACACGTAAAAAGTTTTTAATAAAAGATATATGGATTTGAAAGATACATATTTTAAAAATATTTTTGGATATACAGGGTGTTGCGTTTTTGGCGGGCAAATAAAAATTTATGTTTTTTTAATAGAACACACTATATTTTATTTTAAGAATGGTTTGGTAATACTGTTTTCAACCTTAAAATGTTTACAATGTTGCCAAATATTACAATGTTGCCAAGCAATTATTTTTTTTGAAATTAGAGAATAATGTAGACCCTCCCCTCAACCTTTACTTTTAATCAGATTTTTTTTAATAAATTGGCTTCGTCCGTTATATAGAGCTTGATTTTTACTAAAAATTTTATGTTGATATCATTTTTCGATTCAAGATTTTTTAACCCTCCTTAACTCCCCTATTTTAATTTATCAATAGGCTTCATCCCATTATAGAAATTAATATTTACTAATAATTAAAGTTGATATTATTTTTCGTTTCTGATTTATGATTTTTTTTTTAAATATCAACCCCCCCTAACTCCCATTTTTAATCGAACTTTTTCAATGTTCATGTTGATATAGCTCTTCTCGAAAGTAACCCTGTAATATTTCTCGGACTAACGGGGCAAATCTTCAACTACAGCATTTCTTTATTTGTACAATGCATTCTGCATTACTTAGATAATGACTGTATTGTGCATGGTGTATTTCTAGACTTGTCAAACGCCATTGATTGTGTAAAACAGCGTTTTTCAAACTTTTTTGGCAACAGAATCCTTTTAAAAAGCGAAATATTTGAGGGAACCCTAAAATAATAAAAAAAATTAAACTTTATAGTGGTTTAGATAGGTTTTATTTTACTTTGCAACCCCGGGGCATTTCTAAAAAAAAGAAGAAAAAAATTAGATCCTTTCTTAGAGAATTCTAAAAAAAAGGTTCTCAAGCAAAATTACATCCTGTGGTAGTTTAGTGGAATCTAAAAAAAGTCTCAAATTAGGTCCTCCCTTTTGTGGCGAACTTCCTCATAGTACTCTTTTAGTATTTTTTTTATTATGACTATTATTTTCGCAGTGCCCCCACAGAGGCTTTGCGGAGTCCCAGGGCTCTGCAGATCACACTTTGAGAAACGCTGGTGTAAACCATCAAAATTAAACGTGGAATAGCATATGATTGGTTTAAATCATATTTGAATGAAAGATCTCAAAGAGTTTGTGAACAAATAGTGAACTTTTTCAAAACAAGAATCTATACCCAGTGACGGTTTGCCTATTATTATTTTATCTAATATTCAGCGCAAACGGCGTTAGCACGACACTGAACGACCGGGCGTTGAGCGACGTTCCGAGAATTCCGAAATTAAGTGGAAGATGGGCATAGTAAATTTGTGCCTCTGTTATTTTCTCTCTCATTATGATGCGAAAAACAAGGACAACGACAATATCGCTTAGCAAGAGATGAACACATGCGATGGATTATACGTCACAAGCGGGGCGCTGTCCTTATCGTGACGTGCTGTACCCATGGCCAGTGTTGCCAGAGGCCTTCAAAGAATTGTACAGATCCCAGAACAAAATTGTACCAGATTTTAAATGATTGTACAGAAACGAAATATGAAATATGTATGTATGTAAACTAATTGTTTATTAATAAATTTGGCAAACTACATGTTAATTCTAAATACCATTATTAAACTAAGTTCTTATGGACGCGAGTTTGTTATTTTGCCATGCAGTTTATTTCGCCCATCCCTACTCATAGAGATAGATGAAATAAAATTCATTAAAAAATTGCGAAAATTTCGTTGAAAAAAAAATAGACAATTTTTTCCCACAAATTCTCGTTCATGTGGACTTTACTATGGAAGTACTTTTTTATTTCATCATAAAGGATATCCATTTTATCCATGATAACTCATGAACGGATACAAAGAAAAACATCAAATTAAAATTTAGGCTTTATTTCGGCCTGCGGAGGAACATCTCGGGGAGTACTTTATAGGGGGTCATTTATTTAGGTTTAGAGAAAAAAATGCTTTAAATGAAAATTACTTCTTAGTTCTAATATTATTTTCTATAATTTTTGTCTTGCACAAAATTTTCCTAAAATGATCCCTATTCGAGTTTGTCAAAATGTAAAAAAATGTTTGTGATATAATTCTCTAATTATTCGAGATATTTGAGAAAAAGTATAAATTTCGAATTTTTAAGAAAACTCAAAAACGGATAAAGAGAAAAACACCAAATTTTAAATTTAAGACTTATTCAGGCCTGCGGTGAGCTGACTAGATTTTTGGCAGAGTCGGAATATCTGGGAGAGGGGGGAACTTTATAGCGGGTCGTTTTTATATTTTATGGAATATATATGTTATTTACGTTTGGAGAAGAAAATTCTTCAAATAAAAGTTACTTCTAATATTATTCTTTATAATTTTTGCTAAATACAAAATTTTCCAAAATTGTTCGTAATTGAGAAATTTGACAAAATGTGCATAATTCTGATTTTTAGGAAAGTTGTTAAACTAAAAGTTGCGATATCGATCTCTATAAGTTTTGTTTTATACATGATTTCTCTAAAATGGACCGTAATGGAAAAATTTAAGGAAAAGTGTAAAATTTTGATTTTTCAGTATTTTTGTTGGCAATGAATATAAACTGCTGGCTACTCGAACTTACACAGAGATTTTTAGGCAAAATTTAAAGTTCAATATTTTCAACACATGATTTTCTTATCTAGTTATTACAGGCTTTTCCGGTTATTTTGTACAACCTATTGTAGCATCTCTGTAAATGTTTAGATGATAAACTAAATATATACATTTTCCACATATTCGAATAATTTTTTTATTATATATACGCACTTGTACATTATCTCCAATGAAGGCCATCTTGTTTGACTTAATCTTAATAATTTGTGGGGTTTCGTGTCAATAAATTCTTGAAATTCTTTACAAACGGTAAGCCTTTTGGACTTTTCGATATATAGTTGTACTGCTGTACTACAAAAGGTATTTTTTTGTTGCTTCTGATGCACATCGATGTAAGGAGTGACATATACAACCAAGAACAAAAATATTTGAATTAACTTTTTCTTTAAGTTTTGCTTGTAGTCTTCTATCTGCTCCATCATAACAGAAGCGTTATCTGCACCGAAACCAATAACATAATGGTAATTCATTTCATGTTTCTCCAGTAAATCCAAAATGGCTTTAATGAAACCATCTGCAGAGCAATTATCTACCTCTACCAGTGACAATAACTGGTCTTTAATGGAACTTTGGTTTATATCTACAAAACGGCACAAAATTGCCAAACATTTTTTTTGTAGAGATGTCTGCTGTTTCATCTAATATTTAGTTAGTTGTTGCACAAGTTTATTTTCGGCCTCAATCTTCAACATTTTAATTATTTGGGTAGTCTTTGTTCTCCCACAATTTATATTTTTTACCATACTAGAAGTTTAGCAACATTGGGAAATTATGTTCTGCGATGAGGCCCATACTTAATTTGTACTCGGCTTCTTTAGCTACAACCATCAATCTTTTTTCTTCTGAAGATTCTTGAAGCAATTTTTCAATGTTTCCTGTATTTGTAACCGTTTTGATATTTTTTTTTGTAAAACTGATTCTTTTCTTGCCTTGTTAAATGAGCTGCCCCAACCTCAACTGTGTGATTACATAAAGAGCAAATTTTCTCTCCATTACGAAGTAGTTTTACCTATGGAAACTTTGTCTAAATTTATGATCATATTTTCTTTTCTGTACAAAGAAATTAAAAGACTAAACTCAAACAAATAATGATTGAGAGTGAACCGTGTTGTCATATCTCAATTTTACCTTACTAGTTTTTAGCAGAATCAAAATAGAGTAAATAGTAGAGTTGTAAGTTGTGGCAAATTATAGATAATATACAATCATAGTACTAATAAAAGATATTAATTATAACAAAAATTAGTAATGAGTAATACTTATACATTTCTTGATCATTTAAAATTAATTATTTTATGGATTGTTCAGTATTTGTTACAACTAATGGCATCGGTGTACGGAGCGATATTTGTGTCTTTGTCTGTTACGCGTAAAATCCATCTCGTCGATGACGTTCTCAGTAGTGTATTTCTAACCACGAGCGTAACATCGGGTTTTGAATTATACGGTGTGAATTGTAAGTTTTACAGTTAAGTTAGTAAGTAATCGACGTGTTGTAAGAACAATTGGTGAAAATATTAGTGCTAATAAGTGTTTAAACATTAAATAATAATATTTCTACACCGTTCTAAAACTATGCAAAAAATGGAAGACATTGAAGGGCCTTCAACGTCGAAAAAGGTAAAACGGTCGAAGTCTCGGTCGCTAAGTGAAAAACAAATTGTACTTCGAGTATTTCACTGTCTTGAAAGAGATCATCAGCGACCAAAAGATAACTTAGTGCATATGTGCTGTAATTCTACGGATGTACCTCCGAATAACCAACCGGGCGTTCCAACATCATTAACTTCCATAATTACAAAAGATAAATTAGTTGATATGTGCTCTGATTATACGGGTGTACCAAAATCATCAGTTTACAAAATACTAAGAGAAAACAAAATTCATGGGGAAGTACAAACGCCAAAAACTAGTAGCGGAAGAAAAAAAATCACAGTTGATGAAGAAGACAAAAACAGTATACGCACAACTATTCAGTTTCTTTTTCAGAAATGAGCTGCCCACTTTGCAAAAAGTTCTGGAGGTAGTTAGCGATCATGAATTGGTCCCACAAATGAGTAAAGAAACTTTGAGGAAAATTTTACACGAAATGAAATTTACGTACGGAAAAGTCGACAGGAAAAGCATTCTCATTGAACGTCAGGAAATAATAGTATGGAGAAGAAATTATCTCCGAAAAATTGAGGAATTTCGGAATATCAAAAAAAAATATTTACTACATGGATGAGACGTGGGTTAACCAAGGACATACGGTCAAAAAAGTATGGCAGGATGGTCATATAACAAGTGCACGACAAGCCTTTATTGAAGGCTTGTCAACTGGGTTAAAACAGCCGTCTGGAAAAGGTAGTCGTCTGATAGTTACGCATATAGGAAGCGACAGTGGATTTTTACCAAATGGTGAATTAATATTTAAATCCAAGAAAACAGGCGACTATCATGAAGAGATGAATGCGGAGGTGTTTGAAAAATGGTTTGAAGGCATCATTCAACTTGTGGAACCTGGGTCTGTCGTCGTCATGGACAATGCCCCATATCATAGTCGGTATTTAGAATCATTACCGAAACAATCATGGAAAAAACGAGCAATTCAAGAATGGTTAATTAATAAAAACATCCAATATAAAAAAGATAGTTTAAAGGCAGAACTACTTCAGTTAACAAAATTACACAGAGACAAATATAAAAAATTCGCAGTGGATGAAATGGCGTTAAGTCGTGGAATTACAGTATTAAGGTTACCACCGTACCACTGCGAATTAAACCCAATAGAATTAATCTGGGCGCAAGTAAAAGGATATGTGGCACGAGAAAACAGAACATTTAAATTAGTGGACGTGCAACGTTACCTACAAGAAGCCATTCAAAATGTTTCTGCAGAAGACTGGAAGAAATGCATTCAGCATGTTTTAAAAGAAGAGCAAAAAATGTGGGACGTAGACAACCGTATTGAACACAATATTGAACCAATCATAATTAACTTTGATGATAGCGGTAGCAGCAGTGACGAATCTGAGGTTGAAGATTAGAAGAAAATTTGTACACAAAAAGAAGTCTATATATTTAGGTATAATTTTTATTTTTACCATTCACTATTACCATTTAGAAATTTTTATATAAATTTGTATTTTTAATTCCTGTACACAGACATGAACAATGTCTCAGCAGGATACAAATGTTTATTTATTTAATTATTATTATTGTATCAATTTGTACATTGTTACATAAATTTGAAATAAAAATTATTATTATTATGTTTGGCGGTCAAGAAAACATAATCCTGTAGGTTATATCCAAACTAATTATCTTACTTAGGGATTTCCGAAATGATAGGTGCGTGTAAACTTTTATGATTTAAGTACCAATCAAATAGTAATTTAAGCTTTATAATGTCTTTTAATGTTGGCCGAACCCAATTAGGGTTTCTTGGGTAAGGCTGGCTAGTTTCGAGGAACTGCAGGTAAACCGGGAGATATATATATATATATATATATATATATATATATAGACGTATGCTTTATTGTCATTGAAAAATTACAAAAATTTTATAGACAAAGCGAAGTAAATTAAAAACTAAATATAATATAAAAAGATTAAAAAATATAAAAATTTAAAAATAACTAAACAAAACAAAATAAAAATATCAATTGCATTGGATATGCAATATCCGTCATTATGATTTTAATTTATAATTTAAGTAATACTTCTGTATGTGTAACCCAAGAAGAAACTTAAGAGACAGTTCCTTACAGACTTCGGCCGCGACATAATATATAAATATACGTTAATTTGTGAAATTAAGTTAAATTCATTATTAAAATAGTAAAATTGATAATATTGTTTCTGTCACCAAACCAACCCCTGATTAGGTATCTTTCTTATTTTTAATTTGAAATATATATTGTGATTTTTATTAATATTCTTAATTTATTTGGTTCCTACTATAATTACCACAATTATTACTCCGTTTTCATAAAGCCCCACTAATGACTACAACGATTAGGTAAATTACGATATTGCAAAGTTTTCATGAAATAAATAAAAGAAATTGTATGAATATTTTAAATAATTGTACCCTCTCAAAAATAATAAGCACGCCTCCGATTTGGTCGTATTTCTACCTGCTTGCACTCTCAATCATTATTTGTTTGAGTATAGAGGAAGCGTTGGTCTCATTATTATTTAAAATAAATTATGGCATTTGTAGCCGTCATGCTACGCCATTGGAAAACCAGGATTTATTAGTAGAACAAAAATATTTTACAGTAAAAAATACTTGCTGTAGAGGAGATCTATCCCTACATTCCCGACTGGATGTTGTGGCAAATTCAGATTCTGATAAATCACTATTTTGTTCTAAAGTAATAGTGTCGGAATTTATTATTTTATCAGAAGGTCTAATCTAGATAAACCTGATGAAATAGAAGGCTAAGAAATACTAAGCCTCAGATCTGCCTCTTTTGCTTTTCTTATTACACACCTGTTAATTACAATAGTTTTAATTATTTATTAATACAACACCTATAATATATAAAATTTACTGTAGACCTAATAACCACAACAAATAATAATACAAATAAAATTACAGTAAAATACTTATTTTTCTTTTTCTATTGAATTAAAAACATTTTGAAATTTATCGACGTTTATGGTAAATGTTCATTTTGAAAAATTCGTGTCGTCAGATTAATGTTTAAAATTGTACAAAATGTACCAGAAATATTAAAAATGTACTTTTGTACAAACGGTCTCAAAATGTACCAGATCTGTACAATTGTACCAGCTCTGGCAACGCTGCCCATGGCACAGATTACCTAGACCAGATACGAATGTACGCAGCGGTATCGTTACCGGCTCCCTCTAAAGCCGATGCCGGTTTCGGCTTAAGGTGCGCGTTAGTTGGACCATGATAATAATTTATTTATAGTGATTGATTACGAAAAAACGTTAGTTGGACCATTGGAATAGTTAAGAAATAAAACTACAAAGAAAAATAACTTTTTTTTTATAAAGCAGTCAAAAATATGATGAAAAAAATAATCAATATTTATAAATGGGACAAAATTTTAATTTTTCTTTTGGTTTTGTCTGACCTTTTCAAGGATTTCAAATCTCTGTTTGCATATTTAAGAATATAAAAATTCTGAGTCTTATAAATAATTTAATGGTGTACACTTTCGCAAATTGTTGGCAAGGATGACCAAATTCTATTTTGCTCATATCAAAGAGGTATGCGTTGGAAATTCCAGGCTTAGTTGACAAACTATCAAATAGAGATATAAATATTTTTTCTAATTTGAAAATATAAAAGAGAAATTTTTCGCTGGAAGATTTTAAATTGCCAAACACCTTTTCTTCAGAGTCGTATGCTTTAAAATGCTTCTACACGATGGAATTTTACATTGAAGTGTATCAATACTATTTATGTTTATAAAGAGGATTTGATTAAATGTCTCGAAGAAATTATGAACACAGAATTCGATAAAAAAAAACTATTAATCAGACTAAAGGGTTGATAAATTTTGAAAGACAGATTTTAGTTTCTGGTTATTTTTCATCAGCAAAATAATGTCAGATTGCGATATACTTTTTGATCAACTGAAGAGTAGACAGCTCGATGCTGTCAAGGTTGAGATAAACATATCAAATTTTGCAGCAGCTATTCAAAATATTATGAATAATATAGACACGCTAATTCATGAAGAATGGCAATCACAACAAGACCCACAAGAACTAAACGTAAACGACAACACCCAATCAGGTTCAAGTACAAGAAAGAAGAGACGGTTTGTTGAAAGGGAAGACCCCATTCCTAATTTAAGGATATGTAAGGAAATTTGTGTTACAATAGTAGTGCAGGTAAATGAACGTTTTAGTTTTACTACCCACCTAACAATTGCAAGTTTATTTGATAGTAAAAAATTTAAAGACTACCGAGGCTGTTATCCAAATGAGGACGTTAAAACTGTGTGTAGTTTATTTCCAAACGTAAACAGATTAAAATTCAAAAACGAACTGTCCATACTTTACACCCGATATGACTTTGTGCAACACAATGGGGCCGTACTGTTATTACAAATGTTTTTTGAGAACAATTTGACAATTACATTTTCGGAATCTGTGGAGCTGCTAACTATCCTGTATACAATTCCCATGACCACAGTGGAGAGTGAAAGATGTTTTTCGACACTAAAACGTATTAAAACATTTTTAAGGAACACTATGTGCCAAGATAGATTGTGTACGTTAGCCATGTTATCCATCGAAAAAAAAACTTATTCGGTCCATTCCAAATTTTAATAATCTGGTCATCGATTACTTCGCTAGCCAAAAATCCAGAAGAATGGACTTCAACGGTACCTTCAACGGTACCTAGCAGTTAGTCTTCAATTTTGTAATATTTAATTTGTTTTGAAATATATTTAATTTTCATTAAGCGGAGAACTTGTTTTCCTAAGGGAAAAACGAATCCCGGGATTCCTTTCCTTTTTTAACAAATATCGTTCTTAGAAATAGTTAAAAATTATTTTCAAGATCCCAACTTCACAGCTAAAGGTCTAATTTGATGTCACTAAATTTGTTTTCTTTAATGTAATTATTGAATATAGGTGCATTTTTTTACGGTATTTGATGTGTTTGTGTTTATTTAAGCAAATAAAGTACATTCTTTTTTATTCTATTCTAATGCTCATTATCAATAATAAAAACTTGTTAAAAAAGTCAAATTATGTTATGTTGAACATATCAAAATCATATTCCGCACGAAATTTTATTAGTCACTCGTTTATAATTGGTCATACGCATTTTGCAATCTAGTAGTCTACTTAGAAACTTAATAATATGCATCGATTTGTTTTGTGCGTTGACAATTTTTTTCCAAAAATTCTACGGCGCACTGTTTCTGAGATACAGATCATATCCTAGAGCCAACGACAACCGGCGTCCTGCCTTATTTGAATACCCGGTACTTTAGAAAACAATAAATATCTACTAAATTGATAATGATAAATAAAAAATCGATGATATTAAATATTCACTAAAAAACTTTTATTACAATTAAATATTTCCCCTTTAAGATTGATACGCCCATGAATGTTTTCAATACAGCCAACAGCTAGCGGATGATGACGAGCTAGCCGCCATGTTACGGCAACATAATTGGTTCTCTTACTACAATTTAGAGATGAAATAATTTAGGCCTTGGCTTCACAACAAATACACTTTTATCAATGACTAGTTGGGGGTGATAAATGTACCGTTTGAAGAGGTTGGAGAACATTTTTCCGCTGCCCTTTCTGGGCCAGGGACATAACATCTATTATTCATTATCGCTGCCTGTTAATACACCTCTTGCAACCGAAAGTAGTTCTCTTCTTCTTTCGTCTCCATTTTGAACATACTATTTGTAGCCTCAGGCCCCTGTTTTAGTTTGTGTGGTTCTGAACACCAGGGATACACTTCATAGATTATACTTGGTCTAGTTTAATATATACAGAGTGTTTATTGAACATACTGTAAGAATCCTGTAATTTTGGAAATAAAATGTTATTGTCGAAAAATTGTCGCCCTTTAGCTTCAAAAGAAAGCGGCTTCTCAAAAATCATCAAAACACAAAATATTCTTAGAATAGCCCTTGAATTTTTGTGGTATGTTTAATAAATACCCTGTATAATAGATTCAAGTTCTAATTAATTTCTTGTGGCTAGTTGTTCATGAAGTACTTCTTTGTATATGGCCACCTGAAGATTTAATTTAATCGGAATAAGAACCAATTATTTTGGAGATCAACACTTTCAATTTTTATTTTTACTTTTTTAATAATAAAATTTGGTTTGGGTAAATTTTATTTTTATTGTTTTACAGGCCAACCTCGCAAACGTGAGGGTTTTGAAAGAGAGTATGAGTAACTTTAAAACCGAACAGATTGCCAACTTTTCATTAGCGCTTGTAACTGCCTTCGAACTTCTTGAAGAATACAGGATTAGCAAAAAAGGTAAAAAAAAAACCGTTTCTAAACGTCCTAATTAAACCCTAAAATATCTAAATACCCTTTAAATACCTTTAAATACCTTTAAATACCTTTAAATACCTTTAAATACCTTTAAATACCTTTAAATACCTTTAAATACCTTTAAATACCTTTAAATACCTTTAAATACCTTTAAATACCTTTAAATACCTTTAAATACCTTTAAATACCTTTAAATACCTTTAAATACCTTTAAATACCTTTAAATACCTTTAAATACCTTTAAATACCTTTAAATACCTTTAAATACCTTTAAATACCTTTATATACCTTTAAATACCTTTAAATACCTTTAATATACCTTTAAATACCTTAAAATACCTCTAAATACCTCTAAATACCTTTAAATACCTTTAAATACCTTTAAATACCTTTAAATACCTTTAAATACCTTTAAATACCTTTAAATACCTTTAAATACCTTTAAATACCTTTAAATACCTTTAAATACCTTTACATACCTTTACATACCTTTACATACCTTTACATACCTTTACATACCTTTACATACCTTTACATACCTTTACATACCTTTACATACCTTTACATACCTTTACATACCTTTACATACCTTTACATACCTTTACATACCTTTACATTCCTTTAAATCAAGTGCTCCATATTGTGGGCTCATGTAACATCTCATTTTAAATGAAAATGTATTTTTAAGGGGCCAGATGCAACCAAGCAATAATGCTTATAACTGATGGTGTTCAATACAATTTTAAGGAAATTTTTGAGAAATATAATTGGGAAAATTTGCCCTTCATGAATGTTAGAGTATTTACTTATCTAATAGGAAGAGAGGTGTCTGATGTTAGAGAAGTGAAGTGGATGGCCTGCGCAAATCAAGGTAAAATATTGCGTTTTTATACCACTATTTTAATATGTACTTTGCGTAAAGTTATTATTACCGATCATGTTGTTTATATTGTTTTTTAAACTGTTATTCACAAAAAAAAAATGTTTACAATATATAACCAAAAATTCCTAACATTTTCAGGTTATTACGTCCATCTCAGCACCTATGCTGAAGTACGAGAAGAAGTTCTTAACTATATTCCCGTAATGGCCAGACCTATGGTTTTAAATCCCAGTCGCAAACCTAACCCAACATGGAGTCCTGTCTATGCGGATGTCACAGATCCCAAACTAACCAATTGGTTGTGGGTTAATCGGGAAACGAAATAGACAAAGAGAGAGGTTTATGGGTTATAGAAAGTTAAAACATATGCTTTCTGCTGGCCATCTGGATAGGACTTTCGTGCATCAACAGAAATTGGTAAGCACATCAGCTTTGGATCAAATAAAACAGTAATACGTTATTTTCCTAAATATATTATTTTAAAGTTTTTTAAGTATCATCATTGCTTTGGGCATGTTTTGATAGATGTCTTCGTGACACCACACATAAATGTTATGGGCCAATAAAAGTCTTTGTGTATCGTTTTCGGGCTAGTAAATCAGCTTCTTCATTGCCTTTATTATGTTATTATATCGCCAGCCTAAGGTTAGTCTGTTTTGACTACCCAGCTCTGTTAGGGCTTCCAAATAGTCCCACACAAGTTCTATGCATACCTACATAGAACTAAGTGCGTTTAGCTTGTCTAGTCTTTGGCTACTATACGTATGTCACTCTGGTTAGTCTGTTTAGTCATTTGGAGCGATGATTTTAACTTGCCAAAAAGAGCCACATACATATGGGAAAGTAATGCAATGTTGTTTTCAGCACCAAGATAACTACGGCGATACCCAAGTCTACCATCTCATGACATCTGTATCGCTACCAGTCTACGATAAAAAACCCCGACAGGTAAGCTATAAATCTCTAATAAATCATTTTCGTAACGAGTCATTACAAACATTATGTGTCTACAGAACATAACAGAAAACATTCAAGTGAACGAAGCGATTTGGATCGAGGTGACCCGGGAGGTATTCAGCGAGTTTAATTTAGAATCGATTTGAGAGTCTTTTTTAGATCAGTGTACCAGTTCTTTAGGAAGTAACCAGCTAAACCTAGAATCGGCCTTAGACTTGTAAAAGTTAAAACATTGTGTCTAGTGTTTAGATTTTTTTAGGTAATGCTTGTCTGCTGTCCAATAAACATGGAGTAGGTACGTTTATGTCGTTGCATTCTAACTGATTGAAATGGATTTCTACGAAGGACTTTTAAGTCGGTATAGCAGATACTCATAGGACAAATGATAGTCGCGGGAAACATAATCTTAATCGCGAATTTAAAGCAATTTCAAATATCAACAATCATTCAACAAGTTGAGTCCTGATTTTTGATCAAATTGGTAAACCTTGATCGAGATCCCAATAATATAATCAAGCCATTTTGAATTTCAATCAGTTTGAATAAAACTACATAAGGGTTCGCATAGAAATACTATCCTTTTTGATTTTTGTAACCTTTGTATATCGATGAAGATGTTTTACAGTAGGACAGAGATAGATTTTGAACGGATAATTCAACATCTCAAATGTGGTCAGTATATAGAGGTGTTCGATAAGTTCATACCAAATATAAATTTGATTATACAGAGTGTGACATAAGTAACGGTTAGCGACGAAATAAAGGGATTCGAAATCTGCAAATTGGAATATTAAATTTTCAATACTATAGCTTGCAGAATAGTTCAAATAATTTTATTTTCCTAATATGATATTTATTATGTTTTACAGATATTTTTTACCACAAAAAATGGTTATTAAATTATTATTAATTACCTAATCCATTAGAACTATAACGTTGATAATTAAAATACAGGGTGGTGCAAAATTATTGTTATGGTTTAAATGCTTTATAACTTTTTTATTTTGAATAAATTGTGAACATTATTTTGTCAAAATACAGCAGATGAATGTAGAATATTATTAACTTAAACGTGAAAAATTACGTCTCGCAGGTGTTGTCCATTTTTCGCTTTACGAAGTTGTGCTCTTTCCAACACATGTTGCATGACTCCCCATACAGCTCAAACACATTTTGGAAATATTTTAAAAATGTTACATTGAAACATTTGTAATGTTGTATAATTATTACGAACTATCCTAAAAACATTTCTGAAATGTGCCTGAAACGAATAAATTACCTGTAAATATAATATTTTACAGTAATATTTCTGAAATGAGATATTAAATGGTAATATTTTAGAAATACATTCTAGTTTTTTTTCTAAAATAATATTAGACTAAAAAAAGACATTTATAAATTATGCACACGCACGGATACCGAGCAAGATCATTGAAGAGCACCCATCAGATATAAAGACCAAAGAGTGCGTACTGATTCTGACTGGATATATAGTGTATTCCAAGTTTGAACTTTTGGCACTGTCCCAGTAATAATAAATTTTATAAATATAATCAATTCGTGTGATAATTCGTAAATTACAATCCTGACAAATTTACGAATATGTTCTGGGCGACCTGGACGGTCATTAACTATGCTTAGAAGGACTGACGAACACATTATTTAAATGCTGAACTATCCTTCATAATGACTAGAGGGCGGAATATATGCATCAAAATATAACAAAATATGCGCATATATATGCATCGTTTTTACCAAAAATATGCAGTTATTTTGTCCAATTATGCCTAAATATGCAAATGCATATTTGTTAAAAATACTTTAAAAAAAGTAGGGGGTGGGTAGCTCAGTGGTTAGTGCGTTGGCCTGTGGACTTAGGGGTCCCGGGTTCAAATTCCAGCCGGGACGCGATTTTTTAAATTAATTACTTTATTTAAAAATTAATTCTGATGCCTAGCGAATATTTTCACTTGACCATTCACTGTTGGGTTCTAATTAACATTGCTGTTCCTAATTTGGTACGCTATCAAAGCCATTACACGAAAAAAAAAAACAATAGAAAATATGTAATATAAAAATTTATTTAAAACAAACGAAACACAAAAACTAGTAGAAGTTAAGTATAGTCGACCTCAAATTTTAATGTTGAAATACATGGTCAATTTTTGGAAATAAAACAAAATTTGATTTTTCTCGAAAACGGTCGACTTTAGAGCGTATGATCAAGAGTACCTTTTTTGTGTAGAAAACATTAGCGGTTCAAATAAGCGTCTCAAAACCGTACTTTTTCCAGTGGCGTAGAATTTTTTTTTTTCAATTTCAACACCCTGTATCTCGAAAATGGTGCATTTTAGAGGGTAAGTTAAAAAAAAAGTGTTTTCATATTTTTGGACGAGCTATCACGTCCTGAAGTCCTGCGCATATATTATGAAACACCCTGTATACAACTTGATCCTAAACATTGCTTAAAAAAAAATATTTCTGTATGTATGCATTTGTCCAATTGTGCCTCACCATGGGATAGGTTTAGACAGAGGTGGGGTATATTTAGACAATAGTATTTTTACTTTATTTAAACCTTTGTGTAAATAATTTTAAACAACTGAACCTATCAATATTTGTTTTTTAAGTTAACTAACAAATAAACTTATTATTTTATGTTATATTGAAAAAATGAAACATTTAATTTTATGTAAGATGCTTGTCTGGACGTTCCTTTGTTTTCTGGAAGTTTCGTCAAGATGTCAGTCCTAGGTATTGTGCTCTAATGTCATTTTGAATAGGATAGTAAAATCCACAGTTTGGTTTGAATTGTAAAAATTTAACTTAGTTCATTGTAATGGTCGTCTAGCTCTTGTACTTTGCCCACAAAGTGAACAATAGTTTTCTTTGTTGCAAATTTTACCAACAAAAAGTCGCCCACGGTAACATCTTCATCATTTACAAGATCATTAATGTCCTCATATTCGTTTTGTAAATCTAAGTCAGAATCTGAGCTATAATTAATTAGACAATCAGTTTTGACATTAGAAGTTGTTGCTTCCATATCAGAATTAGACGAGAAACTTGAATAAGATGTCTTTTTCCTTGGTTTTTTCTAATCTTCTGTCGGACAGTTTTTGGTTCTTTATTTTCACAAAGTTTTCTTTTTACAGTATTGGCTTGTTTTTCCTTGCAACCTCTATTACTCGTATGTCCTTCTCGGGTGTATTAGTATAAATACGTCTGCTATTCTGTGTTGTCTGTAGTGTGGGAAAGGGTCGAATTTCGTTCAGATCTACAAGTTTTGAAGGTTCTGTTCTAGAAACTTTATTGATAACATTTGTTCACATCTTGCATTAACTGAGTTATAAATTCCACGGTGTCTACCTTCTCTAAAACTAAATTTTCTGGATTATGTGTAAGATCTAAGTCGTTGATACCATATTCCTTAGAAGCTACCATTGGCCCTAGTGGTACGCAATTATTATCAGCTCGTGAACTTGTGGAGGGTCAATAGCTGAGAACTCCCAGCAAAATCAGAGTCATCAAAATTAAGACTGTTTATTGGCCAGATTCCTACTTTCATAAAAGACTTGATATTAATGGGAGTAAATGATAGCAAATACGTCTCTGAGGTTAATTTTCCAATATCGTATATTGAAATTGCTTATTATCATTAAAAGCGGATTTGCATCTGTCTTTGAACGGACCGTAGACACCAATGTCCAAAGGCTACATCCGGCGCGTGCAGTGTGGTGGAAAGGAAAGTAATACTATGCCATTTTATCGGCAATAATTAATTGCGTCAAGTAAAACATGAGTTTCGTGGTCATCCAGAAGTAGGAGGATAGGATTATCTCGTGTGCTTTTCATGTGTTTCTAGATGTGTTCCAGTAACTTGACAAATACTTCTGCTGACATCCAGCCTGACTTCGTTGCGTAACCAATTATACCAGGTACACTGTCCTATAAATAATGATATTTCATTCTTACTCGGGGAAACACGTAAACCGGTGGAATTGAAATACTAGTAGCGGTAATAATTCCGAAAAAAAGTTTCCACATTTGTCTTGTTAAAAACAGAAGTGCGGGCAATGCTGACATTTTCGGGTTTTCTATATGGCAATTTGAGGGCATCCATTCTATGCCTGCCAAATCTGACTGTCGTCCCAAAGAGCTCCGTATGCGTATGCGAAAAATTTACAAATCTGTTGATATAAATTCTAACCACCTTAAAGAGGCTTGCTGTTTTAAGGCATGATTTCTGAGTACAACAAAGAATATTGTGTTATTTAACAATATAACGATTGTTAAAACCTTATGAATAGTAAGTGAGTATACTTACATTAGTGTTTAAAAAAGTTTCACGATAATTTTCATCACTTAAAACTTATAAATTTTATAAAAGTTTATAATGACGCTACAACTAGGAATACCAATGTATACCTTTATGAAAGTGACTATCGTTCTGTCCTCTTTTCTCTAACACATAGGAAATGTTCTCTTTTATAACCTACCAAACTCGAAATATAAAAATCTGATGTGTCCAACACATGACTTTCCTATCTAGTTATTATAGGCTTTTTCCGGTTATTTTGTACAACCTATTGCAGCAACTCTATAAATGTTTAGAGGATAAACTAAATATATACATTGTCCACATACATCTACCTCGAAACATTTTTCTATAGATATTCATTGAAAACGAAAATACTGAAAAATTTAAATTTAGCACTTTTCCATTACGGTCCATTTTAGAAAAATCATGTATAAACAAAAATTATAGAGATCGATATCGCAAACAACTTTTAGTTCAAAAATTTTCATAAAAATCAGAATTTTGCACATTTTGTCAAATTTCTCTAATACGGACCATTTCAGGAAATTTTTACATAAAACAAAAATTATAGATGATAATATTAGAAGTAACTTTTATTTGAACAATTTTTTTCTTCAAACATTAATAACAGATATATTCCATAAAATATAAAAACGGCGTCCCATAAAGTACCCCCCAGATGTTCCGACTCTG